TTATTACAGTGGCTTTATATACTACTGTTAAATATACTAGGGATGTAATTCTTTAATAATAATTGATTAAATCAAAATGATTATTTTATGTTATGGCTGATAAAAGATAAATAGCCAATATTAAAATTCTGTACTATTGTCCAAGTAAATAAAACATAAAAATAAACTGAAATCAATCATTTTAAAAGCAACAAGTGAATTTATAATGACAAAATAACAGCATTATAATGTACAGTATGAAAAATGAATATTAATTTGAGATTTGCCAAAGATTACAGAACAGTGTTATTAAATTATTGTTTTTAAAAGTCAGCAGTAACTGTCAGATGACAGAAAGGGTAACTTAAATCTAAAAATGAGTAGAACAATTAAATATCCAATATTGACTGATCAGTGTCATTTTAGTATTATATTAGAATTATAGTATTTATTAATATTTTGAATTAGCTTTTTTATGTATTTTAATTTTTAATGATTTTCCATTTAAGTTTTTTTTTATAATTTCATATAATTTTCATGGAAAGTTGTTCATCTATTTTATTATTTATTTCTATTATTTACATATATACATTTTTATATATTATAATTTTTTTACATTTTTAATAGTTTTATATTTATATTTTATATATATCATCAAACATGTGTCTAGTTCACAGTTGAGACTTAGAGGCGGATATGTAATGTCTAGCTGTTCTTGGCACCCTATCCATATCAAATTATCAAAGGTAAAAATGCTTTAAAAATCTTTCTCATTCCTCTGTTTTACCTTTTGTTTTATTCTGTTTTACCCTGTTTTAAATGTAGGTGTTATTTGAAGGTTGAATTGCTATGTATGTCAGGGGTCATTGATTAAAAGCATTTTTTTCTGTAATGCATTCTATTAATTTAACATGTTAAACTGACAGCTCTAACTTAGCTGTAACACTATTGTTGATGTCAATTGTCAAAACACTAAAAGTGTTTATTTGCACGTGCACACTGACTCACACATGCACACACACAAACCAGGCCTGGTTTGCTTGAACAGAAACTAATGTAAACAGAGCTCACAGCCATCTGCCTAATGTCAGTGTGGCCAGCAGGCTCAGCCTCACACACACACACACACACACACACACACACACACACTGCGCTACAGCTTTGCCTCTCGCCTGCCCCTTTGCTTTCTCATTTCGTATTCTGTGTGCTGGATCAAACCATTGTTTGTCAAATCTATTGTATTATCTCATGTAGAGCAGCATACAGTACAACATTGTCTCTGCTATCAGATAAATCCTCTGTAGTTTTCAAAACAGCACAGACATAAACCATCCAGTCAGCTATGAGAAGCTATTAGATTAAAATGGCTGCGGTCCCACTTTATATTAAGTGGCCTTAACTACTACGTACTTACATCAAAAAATAAGTACAGTGTACTTGTTGTGTTCATATTGTATTGCAAAACACTTTTGCTGCTATTGAGGTGGGATACGGGTAAGGTTAGGGACAGGTTTGGTGGTATGGGTAGGTTTAAGGGTGGGTTAAGGTGCAAGGGTCAACAGTGTAATTATAAATGTACTTTCAGAAATTAATTACAGATGTAATTACTTGCAGGTATTTTTAAAATATAAGTACAATGTAAAAACATGTATGTACACAATAAGTGCATTGTACGAAATTATTAATTTAAAAGTAAGTACATAGTTGTTAAGGCCACTTAATATAAAGTGGGTCCATGGCTGCTAATAAACCTGCCTGTTTGACATGGTAAAGTGGCAGTGAGAAATTATTTTATAGTTTATAGCTTACTCTTAATATCAAATGGTTGGTCTGGCCATTGATTGGTCATCGAAGAAGGGTTATCGACTGATTAATTTTTCACCGTTATTAGCTCTTAATTTAGCTGTGATTGACCTTTGACTGTGCTCACACTCTTAAAGTACAGAGTTAAGGACTGAACAACTCCAAACTGAGTCCCTCTGCAGTTACTTTACGTCTATTATTGCTTTATTATGGCTGGCAAGGACTTTATTTTGGAGTAAGACTAGGTGATATATTGAATATTTACAATGTATTTACATTTTTTTGGTTTCACTCACACTTAAGAAATGTTTCTTGAGCAGCAAATCAGCATATTATCAGATGACAGAAAGGGTAACTTAAATCTAAAAATGAGTAGAACAATTAAATATCCAATATTGACTGATCAGTGTCATTTTAGTATTATATTAGAATTATAGTATTTATTAATATTTTGAATTAGCTTTTTTATGTATTTTAATTTTTAATGATTTTCCATTTAAGTTTTTTTTTATAATTTCATATAATTTTCATGGAAAGTTGTTCATCTATTTTATTATTTATTTCTATTATTTACATATATACATTTTTATATATTATAATTTTTTTACATTTTTAATAGTTTTATATTTATATTTTATATATATCATCAAACATGTGTCTAGTTCACAGTTGAGACTTAGAGGCGGATATGTAATGTCTAGCTGTTCTTGGCACCCTATCCATATCAAATTATCAAAGGTAAAAATGCTTTAAAAATCTTTCTCATTCCTCTGTTTTACCTTTTGTTTTATTCTGTTTTACCCTGTTTTAAATGTAGGTGTTATTTGAAGGTTGAATTGCTATGTATGTCAGGGGTCATTGATTAAAAGCATTTTTTTCTGTAATGCATTCTATTAATTTAACATGTTAAACTGACAGCTCTAACTTAGCTGTAACACTATTGTTGATGTCAATTGTCAAAACACTAAAAGTGTTTATTTGCACGTGCACACTGACTCACACATGCACACACACAAACCAGGCCTGGTTTGCTTGAACAGAAACTAATGTAAACAGAGCTCACAGCCATCTGCCTAATGTCAGTGTGGCCAGCAGGCTCAGCCTCACACACACACACACACACACACACACACACACACACTGCGCTACAGCTTTGCCTCTCGCCTGCCCCTTTGCTTTCTCATTTCGTATTCTGTGTGCTGGATCAAACCATTGTTTGTCAAATCTATTGTATTATCTCATGTAGAGCAGCATACAGTACAACATTGTCTCTGCTATCAGATAAATCCTCTGTAGTTTTCAAAACAGCACAGACATAAACCATCCAGTCAGCTATGAGAAGCTATTAGATTAAAATGGCTGCGGTCCCACTTTATATTAAGTGGCCTTAACTACTACGTACTTACATCAAAAAATAAGTACAGTGTACTTGTTGTGTTCATATTGTATTGCAAAACACTTTTGCTGCTATTGAGGTGGGATACGGGTAAGGTTAGGGACAGGTTTGGTGGTATGGGTAGGTTTAAGGGTGGGTTAAGGTGCAAGGGTCAACAGTGTAATTATAAATGTACTTTCAGAAATTAATTACAGATGTAATTACTTGCAGGTATTTTTAAAATATAAGTACAATGTAAAAACATGTATGTACACAATAAGTGCATTGTACCAAATTATTAATTTAAAAGTAAGTACATAGTTGTTAAGGCCACTTAATATAAAGTGGGTCCATGGCTGCTAATAAACCTGCCTGTTTGACATGGTAAAGTGGCAGTGAGAAATTATTTTATAGTTTATAGCTTACTCTTAATATCAAATGGTTGGTCTGGCCATTGATTGGTCATCGAAGAAGGGTTATCGACTGATTAATTTTTCACCGTTATTAGCTCTTAATTTAGCTGTGATTGACCTTTGACTGTGCTCACACTCTTAAAGTACAGAGTTAAGGACTGAACAACTCCAAACTGAGTCCCTCTGCAGTTACTTTACGTCTATTATTGCTTTATTATGGCTGGCAAGGACTTTATTTTGGAGTAAGACTAGGTGATATATTGAATATTTACAATGTATTTACATTTTTTTGGTTTCACTCACACTTAAGAAATGTTTCTTGAGCAGCAAATCAGCATATTAGAAGGATTTCTGAAGGATCACGTGACACTGAAGACTGGAGTAATGATGCTTAAGTATACTTAAATAGGAAACATTTATTTTCAATTGTAATACTATTTAATAATATTACTGTTTTTTCTGTATTCTTGATCAAATAAATGCAGCCTTGGCGAGCATAAGAGACTTTTTTTATGCACAGACCCCAAACATTTAAACATACTGTAATAAAATCTCCGTATTTTCGAACATGCCTTGATTATTATCTTAATCTAGATCTTATCTTAAGTAGATTTTGCCATTATGTTTTATAGTTTACTCTATTTATAGATTGTTTTATACCTTATTTATTTTACTTAAAATCTTTGGTAGTCAAAATAATTGTTCCTCCAACTAAAAGAAAAAAACAACATTTTTGAACTTTCAGAGAAATATTTATATAATAATATATTTTTCAAATGAAACAAATTGTTAGATGGCTGATATAATATATATATTTTTTTTTTAAATGTATTACCCTTCCCTTTATGGAATAATAAATCTGAAGTGTATGGAATCTGCTTTGGCAATCAGTTTTACCATTTCACTATTTTGGTTATATTTTCTCACTGAAATATTCTCAAGACTTTCCCATAGCCATGACTGGCTTCCCAACAGCTACATGATGTGTCCTCTGGTGTGACATGGGAGTAATTATTTAGCATATATTTTAAGATAGGGTTTTCAGGAAATAGACCAACAAGTGTTTCATAGTGATTCTGCAGTGCTTTCAGTAGAGTGTAATGGTGTGAACCGTGTGACCTGGAGTAACCCCCATCTCTCTCCCATCAACCCCTCCTCTCATTCACCCAAAGGAAGTTACAGTGTTGGCTCTGCTTCAGGCTCCATGTTTAGCTCTGTTCTGGCTCCCCTAATGTAAACTCTACAGGAAGTAGCCTCTCTGGGTCAGAGGTTGGCTTCTTTTCCCATACTGCAGTCGAGTAAAGCCCTAGAGTATGACAGATGTCCCAGGATTCCAGAGCGCTGAGCTAAAGCCGTTTTGGTTGAAAGGTTCAACTGATCACTAGAGAGACATTGAATGAGTCTGCTTTTCTTTTTTCTTCTCCCCTCAGCTGAGCGCAAACGTGCTGATCTTCCTGTGCACCAACATCATTGGGATCTGCACTCACTACCCAGCAGAGGTCTCTCAGAGGCAAGCCTTTCAGGAGACACGAGGCTACATCCAGGCCCGACTGCACCTGCAAAGAGAAAACCAGCAGCAGGTCAGTTCAGTGTCGAGGCCGTGACCATTCGCATTCACTGGCACAATTTACTAGCTACACTACTGTTCAAAAGTGATTTTTTTGAAAGAAATGTATACTTTTATTTAGCAAAGAAGCATTAAATTTGATTAAAGACATTTATAATGTTACGAAAAAATCTTATATTCATCAAAGAATCCTGGGAAGAAAAAGTGTCACACATTCCACAAAAATATTAAGCTGCATAACTGTTTTCCTGCGCAGCAAACAGCATATCAGAATGATTTCTGAAGGATCATGTGACACTGAAGATTGGAGTAATGATGCTGAAAATGCAGCTTTGCATCACAGAGAAAAATTACGTTTTGAAAAATTTGCAAATAGAAAACAGTAATTTTACTGCATTTTTGATTAAATAAATGCAGTGTTGGTGAGCATAAGACACTTTGCATGATTCATGATACTGATTTCACGATTCGATTTTCTCACGATTTTTTTTATTTTTTTAACAAAATTAGATTTAAGACAAACTATAAATGAAAATGTGTCCTGTTATTATTGCTTATATTATTACTGCTATTATTGCTGCACAATTCTTTGTGAAACAGAAATATGTCAAATAACAAAACTAAATTGAAATTTTAAAACAAACCCCAAATCTAATCAAATAAATAAGACAAAAAAACCTCTTCATATAAACAAAGGCTACCTGTGCTCTTTCCATTCAAAAGTAGAGGCAACCACTGTATTTGAATCACAATCCAAACAAAGATGCTGAATACATGCAGCATGAGCACTTTTTTAAATCTAAATTAGATTGTATAATTTGACATTTTAAAACAAAAACAGAATGCTCTGACTTTAGTTTTGTGAAACTAATACTACATAAAACATCTGCACGAAACAAAGACAGCAGAAGCTCTGAATGAGACGCAGACTCACTCTCTGCCAGCAGGTGGCGCTTATGGAACAGCAGATACAGTGTTTCTTTGGCTGTAAACAACACACAGCACAGCACTTATGAACACTGCTTTAATATGCAACTTACAGAGACGAGATGAAAAGAAAATACCATCTAAACTTTTCTAAAGACAGTCAGTTCCCCTCAGAGATGCATTCATATAAACTCCCACCCCCAAATGTATCGCGTTTCGTTTAACATCTCAACCGTCTTGAATAGTCACACATTTATATAGATTTTCAACTGGCTCATGGTGAATCGTTACATCCCTAGCTATGGACAATCATTTATACCTGAATAATGACACTGGCAAACTAATAAATAAGGATGCCAATAAAAATGTTTAAAATTGCACAAAAAATTTAGAATGTTCGAGTTCCAAAAATTCCAACGAATTCCATGTATATTCAGTATAGGGGTGTCGCAATTTACAGGTATTGACGATAATTGTGATATTTAAAAAATATATATTGATATTATGTTAATCAGTGTTGGGGAAAGTTACTTTTATAAGTAATGCATTACAATATTGCATTACTCCATAGAAAAAGTAACTAACTGTGTTACTTTTTGTCACCTGAGCTGGGCTTGCTTATTTATTTTTAATAACAAAAAAACCCAAAAGTTATATTTTTGGCAACTGTAATGGTCCTTTAACACCAAAAGTGAAATGAATAAGCCTCAGGCTGCAGGAAGTGCCTCTGCCTCTTCACCTCACTCCCAATTTCGCTCAACACGGGGACAGAAAAGGTGTTACTTGCGTTGCTTATTTGAAAAAGTAACTCAGATATTTCTTAGAAAATGTACTTAAAAAGTCATCTGATTACGTAACTAGTATTACTTGTAATGCGTTACCCCGACACTGATGTTAATACTGAACATATGATATTATGTAAATAATCCAGCACCAGTAACTATCTGGTTGACACTCCAACATAGTAGGTGACAGTATTGGTGAACAGAACAGAAAAAAACAACGCAGTATGTAGCTACTAATGCTGCACAAAATCATCTCAAAGGAGATGACAGACGTAAAAAGTTAACATGCCAGTTTGGGAGCTTTTTGGATTCCGTAAAAAAAAAAAGATACTCCAGTGTGCAGGAAGTGCCAATAAACTGTAAGTGTTTATTTATTTTATCTTGTACACTTTGGTACAGCTAAAATCTGTTCATGCCAACGACAAACTATAACAGTAACTATTAAACACTAAAACGATAACGGTAATGATAAAAATGTAATTGTTGTAATTCTGTGAGAATAGTGAATTCCACATCACAGCTATAAAAAAAGGACTGAAATTACTGTCAGAATGATTTTTTCCAGCTCAGGCATCTATTGCAGCTAACATCAGACGACAAAACTGCAGAGCGTTTTTATAATAAACAGAACAATAATGTGCGTTGGTGTGGATGCCCGTGAAGTTGTGGTTATAGTTATTGTTCTCATGTGAATGGGCTTTTATGCTTACTGTCTTGACTGTGTAGATTTTGTTTATGTTTCATGTTCTAAATTCATGTCTTTTATTTTGAAGGTTAGTTTTGTTCATAGCCTTAGTCTTTATCACTTCCTCATGTTCCTGTTTCATGTCTTAATTGTTTTCAGGTGTTCCTTGTTAACTCATTAGCTTGTGTATTTATAGCCTTCATGTTTCTCTTTTCTCTTGTTGAGCTTTGATCAGTGGAACCTGCTGTTTGTGAATTCTGTTCTGGTTTCTGCTCAAGTTTGTTGAAGTGAAGTTCAAGTCATTATTTGGTTCTGTTTATTTTCTGTTTGTTTGACGCTTTTTGAAATAAACTGCACTTGTGTTCAACTCTGCTCTCCTTCAGTGGACTCAGCGCTACACTTACAAACTCTCTCTCGATGTCTCTACCTTCATGTTTTGAGTGTGATTCATAGGCCAAAAAATGAAAACACAAAATAAATGTTTAATAAGACTTGGTAACGCTTTACAATAAGGTAATATTTATTAACATTAGTTAACAAACTAACAATGAAAAATACTTCTAAAGCATTTATTGATCTTCATTAATGTTACTTTTATCATTTACTAATACATTATTAAAATCAAAAGTTGTATCTGTTAATATTATTTAATGAACCCGAGGTAACATGAACTAACAATGAACTGTTTTTTTTAAAGAGCCGCCAAACGGAATTTACTGTTTGAATTTCTTAGGAAAAATTATGACTTTGTTTCATATCAGAAATAACCTGCTCTGTCCTGTCTGTCGACATGTTGTCAGTGTCCTCTTTGCTCCGTGATGTATTTTTCACTGCGTGAGAACTTGATGTGTGGCGTGAGAGTGCCATGGCTTGTCAGACATAGCAACAGTAACTAAGGGGGGCGGGTCTTTGTGAAGGGTCAATTGCCATTCAATTCTATGTAAAGAATTCTAGAGATATAATAAACACTGTAGTCAGTGGACAAGCCAATAAAATATATGCACGGGGTAGGGCTGGGCGATATAGCTAAAAAATGTATCAACAATATAATGTTTCATATCGTTCGGTATCGTTAATTATTGACATTTTTATAACCTTTTTTTTTTAACAAAAAGCAATAGAATTTTTTTTTTTCATTTAACCACTGTATTTATAATTAACACAATTTATTGAGACAAACAATCTAACAATTTAACAATCAAACACAATAAAAATTAAACAAATATCTAATTTCTAATGTTTTATATGCAGATTAAATAGGTCTTTATTGTATAGGTCTAATTGTATCCCGAGGCCACAGGAGGGCGCAATGAGCAAAATAATGCAGCGCATTTAGCAAGTAACTCTATAAAAATGTGCATTACGTCTAAATTAACTCATAAAAATCAAATGTAATTTCCTAAATTGCATAAACAATTATGAACAAAACAGCATAATGTATTTATGCATTGCTTAATCCAAAGAGCCTAAGCGCCATTCACACAGACTGCATTTAAAAAGATATGAGACTCAGTGAAAAGGAATAAACCTCCACAAATTTGCGACGTGTTTTCTAAAAGTTTAAACTGATTTAACTTTGCATGGCTTTCCATACATCTCTTTTGTGAGATGAGAGTGCAGCAGTCATATTTGTCCGTCTAAAAAATGCGCTGAATATGCGTTCTGTGTGAATGGCTTGGTTTCGGTTTTAACCCATTCAAGATGTTCTCCGCATTGAGCTTCTATATTTCTCTAATATGTTGAATGCATAACACAGCAGCGGCGCGTCTCGTGGGCTAGACTAACAAAACATTAAAATGCAACATGTCACTCACATCATTATGACGCTCCCTGACGCACACCTAACATTCAAATGCAAATGTTTATTTTAAATTCGACTAATATTCATTCTTTATTCACAATCTCCTCAT